ATGAAAAGATGTTGTTTCTCTATCAGTTTTGAAAGATGGTTTTGCTGAATATATTAACCTGGGTTAGAAGTTGTTTTCTTTTAGTGTTCAAAACACTTTACTCTATGCCAGTGATAGTGAACCTTTTAGAGACTGAGTGCCCATACTGCAAGTCAAAACCCACTTATTTATCGCAAAGTGCCAACACTGCAATTAAACTTGAATACTGAGGTTTTACTTTAGGAAAAACAACTGTTATCTGATGCATGACTGCTGGGGTGACTTGGCTCACCTGCCAAAAAAGAGGGCTGGCTCTACGTGTCCCCTGTATGCATCCCATTGATTCAGCACCACTGCTCAAAACTCTTCTGGCCTTTAAAGTTTGTGTTGAGAAGTCTGATGTAATCTTAATGGGATTACCCTTATAAGTGACATATTGCTTTTCTCTAACAGTGCTTAAGATTCTGTCCTTGTATCAGCTTCTTAGGATTTTGACTATGGTGTATCATGGAAAAGTTTTTTGCTGATGTTGTTGGTTTTTTGGGATTCTATATACCTCAGTTATCTGTATGTTCATTTCCCCGTATTTGGAAGGTTTTCTGCTCGTCTATAAAAAATTTTTTTATGCCTTTGGTTCTGTCTTCTTGTTTTTTACTAATTCCATTTAATCTTAAGTTAATCTTTTTTGCATCTTTAATAGCCATTGGATCCATTTTTCGTGTTCTTTTGTTTTTAAGGTATCTCTGAATAATTGGTCTCTGACAGCAGCCCTAATAGTTCTGACACTGTCATCACATTGATCGCTTCTGCTGCTCATACTTTCAATAGATCTTTTAATCTCCTGGATTTCTGTTTATTACCTTTTCGTGGATGCTTAGTTCTTTGCTAAACTGGTCCTTCATGTTCTGTCATTTTGTGTAACTCAGCTAGCTTTTTATTTGTGTCTTCTGAAAGCTCATTGATCGTTTTATTGTATAAGTCCTAGATTTACCAGTGAGTTCCATTCCAGGGAAACATTTGTAAGTCATATTCATTTGTAAGTCTAACAAAGTGAGTTTTATACTGTATTTTCACTTTTGTTGATATGGAAAAGTTTTAGATAACTTAATAGATTGAATATTAAGGTAGTTGTAGAAGCAAAATAAGTAATGTGTTCTTTTAAGATTTGCTTTTCCTGTAGCTCCTTGTTTAAGGTGAGGATTATCTGACTCTAACCAGTAAATTCATTAACCTAACAAAGTTACCATGCCAGGGTGAATTTACAATGTATATGGCCTATCTTGTGTCTGTGACTTGTAAATAGGAACTGGAATTGTATTTACATATCAAAGACCACTAGGGATGAGATAATGGCTAAAAAGGTTATAAAAAGGGAAATGCTGAACAAAGGGGGCAGGATACAGACCAGACTGGTTTCTGGTGTTCCCATCCACTCTGGAGAAGAAATTTTATTATTTTATCTGAATTCTGTGTCTGTGTATTTCTTTCCGAGATTTCTGCAACACTGTTTCCATGGTTATTTCTTTGCACTTCCTAGCAGTCTGCTTCCCATCACCTCTGCTTTTCCTCTTGCTTCTGGACATCTGGGCTCTGATTGAGCACTGTGCTACTCTGCACTATCACACTATGCAGTAAGCACACAGCAGCACAACCGTGACAGTGTCTGGCAGACACGTGAGCTACTTGTGTGATTTGTTCGTATCTACGAATGTTCCTAATATTAGGTCCATTTGTATCTGTGAAAGTTTGCAACTAGAATGTTTGTAAGTTGGAGACTTAGGGTATACATTTTCTGGTAGTTATATTATCTTTGAGGTTACCAAGCACTTTATTGATCTGTTTATTGTTACTGTTGTTTCCTCTTTTATCACCTCATATAATTCAGCTATTTTTGCTTTTGACTTCCTCCCCATCAGTGCCCCTTGGATCAGTTTTGGGGAAGTTGGGAGTTTATGGAGGCATTTTACTGTCTTGTGTTCTTATGTTTTTGTTGTGCTGCTGTGTAAAGGTTGAGGGTTTATTATATTTGAATGACTCTGTTGCTAGTGTGGAGATCTTTTGAATCATTATCTGCTTTCCATTGATGTCCTCTGGGATTGGCTAACTGTAGACGTTTGCCTCCATTACAAATGATCCCTCTGTTAATTTGGGGGAAGAATGCAGTGTAATTGGCCCAGCATCTACTTCTGCAGAAGTGAACCACAGTATTTTTGATGACACAAAGACAAACTGGATATTGGCATACAGTAAGAGCGCAATTAATAGCAACAACTATGCCAGTCTCTCCAGGTATAGTGCACGTCTGTAATCCCAGCACTTGGGAGGCTGAGGCAGGAGGATCCCTGTGAGTTCAAGGCCAGCCTGAGCTACATAGTGAGTCCATAGCCTGCCTGAACTACATAGTGAGACCCTGCCTCAAAAAAATAAAAAAAATGCCACCGTGGCAATGGGAATGAATCAGCAACAACAATAGATTCAAAGACAAACTAAATATTGACATACCAGAAGAACCAATAAAAGCTACTGGTACCCTTAACAATAGAAAAGAGATCTGCAATAATAATGTAGACACAAAGACAGATTTGTTACATACAATATATATCTACTAGATCCAACAACTGTACCACTATTAACAATAGAAAAGAATTCAAAAAAGTATAGCATAAAGTCAACTAAATATCTAAAGATTAATAGTAATACTAATAAAAATGGAGGGGTAGAGAAGGGGAACATTAAGCTGTACAAAATGGAAAGAAGACCAGGAGTGAAATAAAGCATCCTATTAAGGATTAAAAATTGTTAGAATTAGATAAAAATAACAACAAAAAAAACACAAGAAAAAGGGAAAAACAGAGCAAAAGAAAGACAAAAAAGAAAAACCTTCAAGCCAATGAAGAAAAAGAGAAGTGAACCCAAAAAATAAATTTGTGTTTTTGAATGAGTGGTTCTTTGCAGGGCCTGTAATACTTGGATCCACCAGATATGGGGGAGGGATAATGAGTTGGTAGTAAGTCCTGTTTTGTTTCATACTTACCTTTTTTTGTGTGATTGCTGAGTCCTACCTCACCTTTCCTTCTTGGTGTGATTGATAAGTAGTGTCCATCCTAGGGCTGTATTAACTCTAGCTATACCCAGTTTTTGTCTCTTGTGTACCCCACATAACTGCTTTCTCTGCTTACCTTTACAGCCTGTGGATTTGTGAAGTGTCCCCCATCCCCACTCCAGAGGGCCCTCTGTTTACATATCCTAGACTGAGGCAACCATCCAAGCCATGGTTTATTTGTGATCTTGTTGGCAGATGGGGAAAGCAAACAGATCACTGAGTTCTGTGCCGGATGTAGTCAGCAGGGTCTGTGTGTGGAGGGTCAAGCAGTCTGCTGGAGTTAATGCCAGCACGTTCAGATCGAGCCCATTCTGAAAACCACACACAACCGGCCTGGGTTCTTGTCAAGAGAGTCCAGGAACCCTATGTTCTTCCCTGCTTGAGTGTAAACTCAATGGGTCTGTGTCTAGCCTGTCCCCTTGTTGAAACTGTCTCTTGTGTCCACCAGCTCCCACCCAGTCATTGTGGTACAATGACCCCAGAAACTCTGAAGTTTAGTTGTTCTGTAGCTCAGTCTTAAACAATTAACCCCTTCCCAAAATGCCTCCTGATTAAACACTCAAACATGGTAGACATTACACTGGATTTCTTCTCCAACTCTTAACCTTCCATGAAGTTCAAAACCTGACACTGTTTTTACAGTTTACAGTAGCTGTGGGCTTTTCTTAGGGCTAGCACTGCTGTCCCTGTCAGTTGTTTCTCCCTGGAGCTGGGGAACCTCTCTGGGCTGACCTTGTTTTAGAGTAGATAGGTGCCCCTTGTTAGGAGCAAGGGTTGGCACTAAAGCCTGCTTTATTTTCTCATCATTGGGTTCAATTTCTCTGTAGTTTTTTTTTTTCCCCTGCCTTTTCTTTCTTGATTCCTGGAAATCTACTTTTTTCCTTCACCAAGTTGTTTTACAGATGTCTAGATTCCAGGTCCTGGAGAGGGTGTTTTTGCTCCAGGTCTTTACTCTGCCATTTTATTTTTATTTTTATTTATTTTTTTAACTCTGCCATTCTTAATCTTTACCCTTATTTTCTTTATTTAAAAAAATATTAAATAAAAATGCATTAAGGTGTGGCTAGGAGATGAATTTTCAGTAGGCAAAAGCAATCACCAAATTGACCTTACATTTTTTTTTTAAAGCTTGGCAGCAAATTTATTACTTTAAATTACTTGAGAACTAAATGAAAAATCAGTATAGATACCATAGCAAAAATAAGATATTTTCTGAATGTCTCTTGTCTAAAAGTGTTATTGAATACAATAATTCTTTAATTAGGATACTCTGTAACCATGTTCTTATGTACACTGTGGATGAGAATTATTTTCCTGCCATTTAGATAATGTTAAACTTTACTTTCTACATTGATATATGCAGTGCTGTCAATTATTTAAAGCAAGATGTTAATGCTTGCTTTCTTTTTTCTAATGTTGTAAACTTTTAAGGCAAAAAATGTTATTTAATGGTCTTTCCTTTCTGATTTCAGCAAACTGCTTCTAATTTGTAAAGAATAGAGGAGAGATAGTAGATTGATGAAGGAAGTGCTTCTCAACACATTCTCACTGTCTTGAACCATTGGTGGTATGTCCATGATTATCCCATACTGTGGCTTGTACCACTGGTGGTACAAACAGATCTGATCACTTTTATGGGTCTTTTTCCCAATAAAATTAATAAAAAGCCACCCAGTGGGACAGTCATGCATGTACCACTGGTGGTTCAATCTCCCCAGGAGAGAGAGATATGAATTATGGCCCTGTCTTGAATGTGTTAAGGAAAATTCAGGTTGTTGTTATTTCATTTGTCACTGGTCAAAAAATACCTGTCATGTAAATCTGAATTGTATTTCCTACAGGGACAGTTTTTCATGTTTTTCAAATCATACACTTTTATATTTTTCCCACTGTTTAATGCAATAATTTTTCCTTTAAGGTATGGCCTACGTGAGTTTGTGGTGATTGCTCCTGCTGCACACAGTGATGCAGTTCTCAGTGAATCTAAGTGCAATCTTCTTCTGAGTTCTGTTTCGATTGCTTTGGGAAACACTGGTTGGTAAGTGGACAGTCTGAGAATCCTAGACAATAACCTAAAAACTATTGTTAGTGATGGGTTTTTTTGTTTGTTTCGTTTTTTGGTACTGGTTATTGAACTCAGGTCCTTGCACTTGCTCAGCAGGAGGCAAAACCACTGAGCTAAATCCCTGGCCCTGTTAGTGATGTTTTATGAAGATAAATAGTTATTAAGTGTTATATTAACTATAAGTTTGAACTTAGTACATGTACTTGTATATCCTGAAATTTGGTATATGAAGGCAAAATTAATGAAACCTTTTTGGACATCATTTCTTTGATTTTTCTTGTTTTTTCTTCTTTGCAGTACTGAAGAGTGAACTGAAGGTCACTCTAACACTTCATATTTTTCATTTTTAGACAAAGTCTGAATAACTTGTCCATGCTGTCCTTGAACTTTCAATCCTCCTACCTCATCTTCCCAAGTAGCTGGGATTATAGGTGTGCTCAACCAGGGCCACCCAGAAGTCATCTTAGTGAAATATTCAATGTATATGTGAAAGGAAAAATAAATTGTACTATCTTTGCACTCTGCTTAAAAATTTTAGTTTATTAAATTATACTACAAAATCTAATTTTAAAACTTGAGGACTTCTAGGCATTATTTGGAATAACTTCCCAAAAACTTAATTATAAATATTTTTAGGCCTTATTCTTAAATGGAAATATTGAAGTACATGAAATTTTCTAAATTAGTATTCTGCTATTTTGAGTTGTATTTCATTTGTGTATCAAATAGAGTGTAAATGTCAAGTTACTAGGGAAAAGTAAATGTATTACGATGGGTGCACTTGGTAGTATATCCTGTTCTTTGTACTATATCCTATATTTTGTCATGTACACTGAATAATTTGAGGGGGTTTTTTTCAATAAAAGGAATGGTTGGAACATTTACTAATGTAGCAGCATTAACTTGGGAATATATTTGTATAGTCTTTTCTTTTTATTTGAGGTAGTTATGTTCTGTAGAGTTACTACAAACACTATTATTAAATCCTGAACCGTTGTTTCTAGGAGAAAGTACAGGATTAGGTTCATGCAAACCCCTGGTTACAACAGTGTGTGTGTTTGTGCGTGTGTTGTGAGGACTGAACCCAGAGTCTCCAGCATAGTAGGCAAATGCTCTACCACTGAGCAACATACCCAGTCCTGGTCACAACATTTTTGTCAACCAGTTGATGTATGACCTTGTTTTATGTGTGTTTCTGTTCAAAAATATTTTTGATTCATTAGAATTGAACTCAGACCAATAGCACTATAACTCATGCCTGAATGGAGTTTACCTAACACTTACATTTTATCTATGAGACATATCACAGTTTTCTTTTACTTGAGAGTATTACCTTCAGAACTGTGGTTTGGGGCCATTTTACAGAGTGAAATCAACAAAAACATAAAAACCCCAAAAATTGTAGCTCTAAGTGGATCATGAAAAAGATAACTTGTTTATAGCAAGGGAGAGCATTACCTTACTTGAATTCAGTGGGAACATGCTTGTTGAGTTACCCAGAGTTTTGCTGCCCCGCAAATGTCTGGAAGTAACTGCATGTGTTGTGAATGTTGATTTGGGAGTTAAAAGTAAATTTTTGTGAGTAGGCTAATTTGCAGGTATGGAAATCTGTGAATAGTAAGAATCAGCTGTGTAAATGTTATAATGAGAAATATTTTACCACAGTTGGCTTAATTTATATTATTTAATACCTATCGATCAGGTTTTATCATGAATTTGGAAAGACTGATAATGATATATGTAATTATTGTTAAGAAAATTTTAATCTGCTGTTTTATGATCTTAACCCATTCTTGACAATTTCTGACTAAAATGCTACTAGATGATCATTTTCTCAGCTTTTTAGCACAAAGATAAAAGGAACTAAGTATCTTCTTTGTGCATAAGAATCTGTGTTTGGAGAATATTCCTTATTTAGATCTTTCAGAAAATTGAGATTAAAATATCACAGGAAATTTTTGAGTTTATGGAGTTATTAAATTTTAATGAACTTGCATTCTTTTCATATTTAATCATGTCCTGCAGTCAGGTACCACTGTTTGTCCAAATACTTCACAAATGGCGAAGAATGTATGTAGGAGAATGTCAAGGTCCTGGTGTCCGAACTGATTTTGAGATGGTTCATCTTCGAAAAGTGCCAAATCAGTACACTCACTTATCAGGTCTACTGGATATCTTCAAATCAAAGATTGTGAGTTGGCATTGATATTGTCAGTCTTATTTGGGATCCAGATAAAAGTAAGCCATTTGATAATTTGATCATATAGAAATATTTCTCTATAATATGAATAGTGTAACTGTTTAGAAGGCTCTAATTGACTAAACTACTATGTATAAAGAAACAAAATACCCAATTAGAAAGTCATCTGTTTTGTTTGTTTAGTCTATTAATATTAATTGACCGTGTTCTATCCTTTGTCTTCTAACAGTGATATTGCCATTCTCCCCAGCCTAAAGGGCTTCAGGTGGCTGCTTATTTGGGATACTAACTGAGTTCCTTGGGACCTGAACTCTTTGGGTTCTGAATTGCTCTCTTTTTGTCAAATCTGTTTGATTTGATTTTTAAATAGGATGTACTGAATATATATTTGGTGTTCTATTAAAAAAATTATCACAGAGGGGCTGGGAATTTAGTCAGTGGTTTCACCACCTGCTGTGCAAGCACAAGGACCGGAGTTCGATCCCCAGTACCAAAAAACAAACAAACAAATAAAAATTATCACAGAGATAAAGAGGATTGCCTATGCTACTCTTGGAGAAAAATTAGGGTGTTGGGTACAAAAATTGATATCACCTTATATAAGTGATCAAACTTGATTAACTGATATCAAATAAATTAATGTTTATGTACCAGTTAAAATTAATTAAATCCAAACTGTCATCACGTAACTTCTGATGTAGTACGCTGAATAGGATATATCTTCACCTATGTGGCATTCCTGCCAAAACATTTAACATAAATTAAAACATGAGGAAACAATCATGTTTCCAAAGTGAACTCTATTTTGCAAAGCGACTGGTCTAGACCCCTCAAAATGTTAGTATCATGATAGTCAAAGTAAAGGCTGGGAGCTATTTATATTAAGGAAGACTAATGAGACATGACATCTAAATTCAGTGCATGATTCTTGATTGGATACTTGATCAAAACAAAATAACCATTAAAAACCTGATTTGAGATAATCATGTTTTAATTTGGACTATATATTAGGACATACTATCTGCTAAACTTTTTGAGTGTAATAACTGTTATGACTGTGTAGGAAGATGTCTGTTCTTAGGAATTACATGCTAAAGTATTTAGAAGTAAACTGTAATGATGCCTACAACTTTTTTTTTTGCCTACAGCTTTTTAGACGTTCAGTCAAAAATAAAATACACTTAAATGTGTGTATCTGTGGCAAAGCGTTAATGGCTGATATACTTCCTGAAAATTATATAGGTGTTCATCGTACTAGTTTTCCTACCTTTTTGGAGATTTTAATGATTTTTGGGTTTTTTGGTGGTTTTCTGCAATATACGACGTCCCCTAGGATAACACTGTCTGTTGAAAAAACATCATACTAGTTTTCTTTTCCTGAAGTGTGTATATATATATTTTTGGCAGACTCTGTTTATTTTCTGTGTAGAGGTCCTAAACACTGTAGTAGTAGGATTATCACCATCTAGGTAAATATTTGACATTTAAAAAAAATAATTCATGTATCATGTTAGGAAACTGAAGTAAGTCAAACCTTCATATTAGCCTTCATTCCTTTTTTTCAAAACTACTGCTGTTTATGATTATTTCCATTAAAAAATAGATGCATGTATTTTAGAGCCTTTCTTTAGGTATGTAATTTTCTTTTTAAAAACTTTTTGGGGCATGAAATCTATAAATACTGCTTAATTTTATATGCATTTTTGGAAATTTTTGAGAAAGTCAAGTATGTTAATTTTTACTGTTTTCTTTCTTTTTTTTTTTTTTTTTTTTTTTTTTGGTACCAGGGATCGAACTCAGGACCTTGCCCTTGTGGGGCAAGCAGCAGAACCGCTGAGCTAAATCTCCGGTCCTTCTTTTTCTCTAATATGAAGTCTATATGTATAAATTTGTAAATTTTTAAGGTCAAATTCTGGTCTGATACAAATAACTTACTCTTACGATCTGATGATGATGTTCACTAATGTTTTCTTTTTTGTTATTTCTGTGTGTAGCTCAGCCTCTCTGTTTTAAAAAACTAGAAACTATCTTGATTTGTCAACCCTGGCTTATGTTTTGGCTATTTACTAGTTGTGCCTTTAAAACAAAAGTATAGTTTATCACATCATCTGTCCATTAAAATTTTAACAAAATTTACTCTTCGGATACTAAATCAGCCTTGATATTTATTTGTAAAGAATTAAACTTAATATAGTTCAGACTTTGGTTAGGTACCTTAAACATTTTTACATAGTTAAAGCTACCCAATATATATATATAGTTCTTTTCTGTTTTAATGAAACTTTTTTTTTTTTTGGTACCGGGAATCAAACTCTGGTCCTTGCGCCTACACAGCAGGCAATGAAACCACTGAGCTAAATCCCCAGCCCTAAAGAAACTGTCTTTATAAAAATTACTTTTAAACATTACTTCTTTGCCCCAGTGCACTCACCCCCCACTGGGAATTTCATTTTATGAGATCTAATTCTTAGATAAGGGTTCCCTTTGAAAGGATGTTTTCCCATTTCTAGTCACATAAAATACAAATTTAGATGCTCTTCTGGCGTATACCTAAATATTTAAAAACTTCATCCCACCCTAGTGATCTTTCCTTTTTCAATTTAGATATTCTTAGCTCTTTCACATTGTCATTTTATGGTTTTATAATCTGTTGATTTAATTGTCTCTTTTAGAACTGCATTCTTTTTCATGTTTGGGACATTTTGTTCACAGATCATTTTAAATAAGGGTTTTATTTAAAATTTTAGGGCTGGGGATTTAGCTCAGTGGTTTCGCTGCCTGCTGAGCAAGCGCAAGGACCCCAGTTCGATCCCCAGTACCAAAAAGCAAAACCAAAAAACCCCCCAAAAAATAAAATAAAATTTAAAACTTTCTCTCTTGTCCATTCTTTCTAGTGGTTTTACAATCTTGTGGTTGCTTTCTACTTACAAAATATTTCAGAACCAAGTCTTAAAATGGCATTTGGAACCTCTTGTTCCGTGATGATTTTGAGGTATTGCATATCTAGCCTTAGAACCTTAGGTTGCTTGCTTATGATGTGAGTGTGACATTTTCTTCCTCCCTCACACAATTATTTCCCTCAGGCCTATACTTTCTAATAAAGCCTTTGTACCAAGCAGGAGTGCCCTTCCGCATTGTCTTACTTAGGCAGAGAGACATCCAGTCCCATTTAATGCAGTCTGTAATCCTATGATGTCACTGCCTTCTTTCATAACCAAAGCTCAGTAGGCATGTGCCTAGAGCTCCACTTATTCCCTGGATTTTCTGTGCCTTTTTTAGGATACAAAAAGATATCTATGTCGTGTTTGATCCTAGCTATTTCTTTTCAGATGTCTTTATATTTATCTACAGTGCTTTGTAATTAGGGCAAAGGTTATTTATCAAAGTGACCGTGTTACTGCTTCCAGACTATTTGCATGTTACTGTGGCTGAACACTCATTTGATATCTGGACCTGCCTAAAAGTGTATATATATCCTGACTAGCCAAATTTTACTTTGCTTATCTAAGACACAGCACCCTAAAATTGAATTCATTTTTAGGAATCAGTCACCTGATATTGTGATTTCAGGATGAGTTTGTACATTCAGTTAAACCTATTAATGACATATATCCTGCTCAGCTACATATCACTTGTTTATTCTTTTGCTACTCAGAGTGTAGTCTCCAGACCAACAGTGTTATTAGCAACACCTGGAAACTGATTTGAGATGGAGAAGAACATTGAATGTGCATTTACATAAGCTGCCTCGGTGGTTCTTGTTTAAGTCCTGTCCCACTTAATATATGGCATAGATGATATTAGATGATAGTATTAATTTTCATGATATTTAGTGAACTTAAAGATGAATCTTCTTTTGTTAACTGATCATTAATACAGTGTAGTTTGTATGAGTGGCTTTGTCTTAAAATTCAGTGAAATATTCAATACTAGCTTTAATTTTAGCTTATTTTCATTTAACTTATGCATATGATCTCCCCAAAACTAGTTTTACACTTTTAGAAAGTTTATTACTTTTTCCCCATATTCAATTTCAAAAGTTTATAGTAAAAATTTGTATTTTATAATCAAATTGTAAAAGATACTTTGAAAGATCATTTTTCTTAATAGAATTTAATATTTCCTTAGTATAAGAAGTTTTAAAGTAATTTGCATTGTTTTTTAAAGTGTTCTTTTGCTTGCTTGTTTTTGTTTTTGTAGTAGGGTCTTACTGTGTTGTCCAGGCTGACCTTGAACACCTACATTCCAGGTATTCTCGTGTCTTGCCCTCTCAAGTAGTTGGGACTACAGGTGCACACCACTGTGCCAAGCTTAAAGCTTTTTTTTTTTTTTTTTTTAAACCACATGACCTTTTCATCAAAAGAAAACATCTGTGGAAGTAGTGTATGAAAATTGTAGAATCTCTCAAGTACAGAAATACATGGACAAATTATAGAGTGATTCTTTGGAGAGTTTATTTTCCCATTTTTTAAAAACCAGATCTCATATTTACCAGTACTGTTCCTTACTACAGGGTCTTCCTTCTTATTTTCTAAATTTTGCACCTTTTGGCCCTAATAACTTCAGTGACTTTTTTTCCTTGTTAACGACTAGATTATGTACACTATTGTCTTAACACTATAAACTGAAAATCCATCATAAGAGTATTTTACCCATTCCATAAGTTTGAAGTTTTGATGATGAATTTATTAAAACAAGGAACCAGCATTTACATGATACTGTCTTTGAATGTATTTCCCAGGGGTGTCCTTTAACTCCATTGCCTCCAGTTAGTATTGCTATTCGATTTACCTATGTGCTTCAGGATTGGCAGCAGTACTTTTGGCCTCAGCAACCTCCAGGTGAGAGAAGTTAGAATTGTATTTAACTTATCAAATATGAATGGGAAAAGGAAATATATTCAGAAATTAAAATTTACTTAACAGTTTTTCAAGTGTTTTACATTAGAAATATTTGTAATTCAAAGTATAATTTTTGACCTAATTTTTTTCTCTTTGACAATCTCTCTTTGAAAGCTAATTATTTATACAGCATCCATTGCTGTGTAACATTATGGGCTGTAAATTACTTGAGTGAATGATTAAAATGTCTGTGTTTAGAAGGGTTTTTTTAACAGTATAATAAAAGAAGCCACTCTCATAAGCTAAGAATAGAATGCAGAAAACCTTAGAGTTTGAAGGGAGCTAAACAAAGAAAATACTTATGTGTAGACATACACAGGGAAAACTATAAAATATTTTACTTTAACTTGCATTTTATGAAAATGTTATCAAAATTAGCTTTTGATGAACTAATTCATTTAATAATCATTAATTATTAGCCTATAATAGGTCAGGTTGTGCAAACAACACAAGTATGAACAAGACATCATCACTAAGGTTCTTGAAAAGCTCAGCCTGATGGTCATATACCCTAATTGAAGTTTTGATTTCAAGGTATTTCTTTAATCTATGAGTGTAAATGATATTCAAGTACATTTAATAAGAAATTTAATAAAACTTATAAATAATTATAAGGTTTTTATTAGCTTGAAAACATTTGTCAGTCTTATTCCCCTAAATAAATATTCTTCACTGTTTATTTTTGTTTTAAATAGGTGGTTATTTATAGGATTAAAGATAATTGGTAGACTAGCGATGATATTAAAATTAATATAAGCACCGGGTGTGGTGGCACACCCCTGCAATCCCAGCATTTGGGAGGCTGAGGCAGGAGGATCTCCATGAGTTCAAGGCCAGCCTGAACTACATAGTGAGACCCTGTCTAAAAAAACAAAACAAAATAATAATAATAAAGTTAATGTAACAGATACTTAGTCTTTGGCAATTATTTGTACTACTGCTGTTTTATATAGTGCTGGACAATTTGAAAACTGTAGCTCACAGAGAACTGTATCATAACTAGCAAAGGAAAATAAAAGCTAAACTTAGAATAATATAGCCAAAAGACTCACATGTTTGTGTCAATAATTTATTTCTTAGACGATACCCCTGGACAGTTTGTAATCAGATTCTAGTTAGATGCCTTAATTCCTACTTTCTTTTTCCTTTTATTCCAAAGCCACTCCATTATTAAGCAGTTTTGAAGATTTCCTAGGGCAGAAGCAGGGGTGGGGGAGGGGGAATCTCAGTGCAAGGGCCTGGATTCAATAGCTAGAACCCTCATCAAAAAAAAAGATTTCCCAAGGTGGTTGTGGTTTGTTGATGATCTAAGAAGCTCAAGGGCTAGAATCTTAGCATTTTAATTCTGATTGCCAATAAGATCTTTGTTAATGTCCTATTGCCAGTGTTTAAAAATAGAAACCTTTCAGTGGATTGAAGGCCATATAAATCCTTCACATTTTTTCTTATAAAGGGGAAGGACTGACATGCAAGGTGAGCCAGATACTGCTTGGCATTTTATATACTATTTTGTGTAATTCTTATTTTCCTGTGAGATAGGAGTTACTATATTAATTAACTAGCCTAATGTCAAATAGTCACCAAGTGGTAATGTTCACATTTATACTCTAGTCAAACTCTTAATTCCCTTATACTTTTCAGTCCACAATGTTGGTTTACAACTTTTAATTCAGTTAAAACTTTTGTACACTTATATTCTAGTAATAATCTTTAACTTACCACTTTGTGAAAATGTTTGTTTTAAATGTTAAGCTCTTCAAAATTCACATCTTCTAACAAAGGTAGTCATTGTGACCTTTATTATTACAAACATACTTTAGTTGGAAAAGTGGAATGAATTGTCTTGAGAAAATTTACTATCAAGTAACAAGGCCATACGGGACAGGGATTTAGCTCAGTGGCAATGTGCCTACCTCGTAAGTGCAATGTCCTGAGTTCAGATCCCCAGTACCAAAAAAAAAGAAACAACAAACAAGTAATAAGGCCATATTTCATGACTAATTTTAGCAATTTACGTAGGGCAGAGACAGTTGTCAAATGTGATTTAAGCATATGTGAGGAATGTTCATAAACTTAGCAATACAATTTCTGGTATAATGTGAATAATTAAATATTGCCATCTGTATTATTTCAAAGAGAAATCTTTTAAATGTCTTTGTCTGATATCGGAAATGGAACTCAGGACCTTGTTCTTGCCAGGCAGGCATGGCACCACTAAATTACATCCCCAACCCCTTTTAATGTCTTTCAAAGAAGTGTTTGTTAGTTCCTTAGGACAGATGGTACTAAGGACAGGGGGTTACCCTGTGAATTCTCCTCCAATTTTAGAGACTATTTATATTGGACGGGTAGTTCTTTCCGAAAGTATAAATATTTCCATGTACTGTCAACTAAAATATAATTTTATTAATAAAAAATCTGCTGGGCTGGGGATGTAGCTCAGGGGTGCTGCCGCCTGCCTGGCAAGTGCAAGGTCCTAAATTTGATCCCCAGTATCCCCCCTCCCCAAATCTGCTAATTTGTTGTTCAGAAATTATTTACAGCAAAAATGAATGAATGTAGGCTAGTGATTTTATTTTTTTAATACTTAAGTTATATTAATCATATTCTTAGAAAATGGCAAAATTGCAGGAATATTCTGTTCAGTAACAATTAAGGATTATTTCAGAAGGCTAAATTTATAAGACATGGCTTAAATGAACCACTGCATAATAGAAATACATGTATCTTTTTACTTACATTCTTGTTCTCAGGAGACGTCTTTAATACTCAACTATAACATGCTCTAACTTGCTGACTTATTATATGTATTCTGTTATAGGCACTTTTAAAGCTATAATCTTCTAAAGATTACAGCCTAACTAGATTCTTATATAGTTCTTTTTTGCCAAATGGAAAAATATTTCATTTGTTTAGATATAGATGCTCTGGTAGGAGGAGAAGTTGGAGGACTGGAGTTTGGCAAGTTACCATTTGGTGCCTGTGAAGATCCTATTAGGTGAGAAGTTGAACCTATCATTTGAATTATAGCATTGTTTGTTTTACTTTTTAAATTTATATTGACATCAACTTTACCATACTTTATGATACAGTAGCCTGCTGGAACGAATATAGTACTGGAAATAAATATGTCTGCTTTCTTTAATTTGTAATTTAACTTGAAAACTCTGAAATTTCATGTTTCTGTCAAAAGAAACATATTAAACATGTGGACCAAATCTGACTAGTAGTTTGTTTTTATGGATCTAGTAAACTCAGAATGGTTTTTATATTCCTAAGCAGTTTAAAGAAGAACAAAACAAGAATATAGCAGAAACTATACATGGTTCACAAAGCCTTAAAATAATCTCTCTCTGGCCCGTTGTAGAAAAAGTTGGACAACTCCTGATTTATACCATATTTTTCAGAATTAGGATATAATTCACCTACCATGAAATTTTATCATTTTCAAGTATACAGTTCAGTGGGTTTTTTAAAGATTTATAGAGTTTTGCAGCTGTCATTACTATAATCATAAAACATTTTCTTTATCTCAAAAAGAAAGGCTTTGACTCTTGGTCCATCACTCCCGCCAAATCATCCAAAACCTTCCAGTTCCAGGCAAACACGAACCTACTCCCTGTGTATGGATTTGCCTACTCTGAACATTTCATGATGGAGTCAAATATGTAGCCTCTTATATCTGGCTTCTTTTACTTACTATGTTTTTGAGATTTATCCATGTTGTAGCATGAATCCTTTATTATATTTATAGCTATAAATATGCCATTGTATGAATATATTGTATACCATATTAGTTGATAGACATTTAGATTATTTATACTTTTGGTTATTAATAGGGGTTTTAATAGCTGCAAAAAATTAACTTCATATTGATGTGCTATCATTGGCTAAACCAGTTCTCAATTTATTGGATTATATATAAACCACTTTTAACATAATTGTATATACATCTGGTTATTTCCTTAGAATACAGTTCTAGAAAAGTTGCTGAGTCAGAGGATGTGTGTGCAAACAATATTAAAGATTTTGGATATATTTTATGTTTTGTTTATTTTAGTGAACTCCATCTAGCAACTACATGGCCTCATCTGACTGAAGGGATCATTGTGGATAATGATGTGTATTCGTAAGTACGTTAAAGAACTTCAGTAGAATAAATTAACTACCATTGGTTAGTAATTTTCTTTTTTTGTTTACATCAGTTTTTAATGAGGTTGGTTGATTTATTTTTAAAGGTCACTCTTTAGACCTATTAATTACTGTATAGATTACAAATGTGTTTTAGGTTGCTGGTTTTGAAGACATGATTCTTAGTTCAGGGATATAATGAACAATTTGAATTGTACTGTGATTTAGCAAAGATGTCTATAAGCTTAAGATTCAGTGCATAATTCTTTTGGACTTGCCTTAGATTATAAAAAAGCATTTCATGAAGGACTTTGAAAAGATGATCATCAGAATGTGTGGGAATAATATTTGATCATTTAATGTTGTAGGTAATAAAATATCCATGCTCTATGCTCCTGTCCAGTGGAAATAACTTGAAAACTGCAGCAACCATTCTCTGAGAAAAATGTAGCAAAAGAGGGAGGCAATTTTAGTACTTTCCCATACTGGATGCAAAACAGTGAGAAATAGGACACTTTTGCTTTTCATAATTAAAATAAATTTGTTATATTTGTTGATGGCAAAAGTAACTTGAATGCTCTTAATTAGATTATTTAGGTATAAAGAAGCAGACCTATCATCACATTACTTATAGCCAGCCAACATCTTGGTGTGTATCTTTTTAAAGTTTGAATTCATATATTACTTTGCTTTATTCATTTAATATATTTTATATCTTTTGTGTCAGTCACTGTAGATCTACTTAATTTTTTTATTTTATCGTAGTTTCCCATTAAGTGGGTCCAGTAATCTACTTAATTTAGAAAACAGAGCACTTTTGATCTGGGGCAAGCTTTTATAGTCTTTAATAATGCTATTATAAAAAAGCAGGTTGTGATGATTGTGTGCACTTGCATGTTTCTCATTCTTTTTTATTGTATTCTTAAAATATATTTCACTAGGGTATTAGGGCACATTGCTTGTTGAGAATCATTTTTATATAATTTTAGGTTATTGTGTTTTTTATTTTATGTAGCCCAGGCTGGCCTCAGACTCAGGGCAATTCTCCTGCCTCAGCCTCCTGAGTGGTGGGATCACAGTTGTGTGCCACCACGTCCGGTGGTTATTGTGTTTTGATTTTGGTATTTATATTTTGTCTAAGAATTTGATTTACTAAGATTTTTTTTTTTTGATTTACTAAGATTTTTTTTTTTAAAAAAATACTTAACCAGGCCAGGCATGGTGGCATATTCCTATAATCTCAGCTTTCTGGGAGGCTGAGGCAGAAGGATTGCAGGTTTGAGCCCAGCCTGAGCAACTTAGCAGGATGATTACAATAATAAAAGGGCTGGGGTATAGCTCAGTGTGAAAACCCTTGGTTCAGTCCTAGTACTGGGGGAAAAAACTTATCCAAATGGCCATGTATCTGGAGGCAGCAGTAAGTTTTAAGAAAATCAAAATGGATTGCTATTCTTTGTATAGAAAGCTTTCGTTAGATGTCATTTTAATAAGTTCATGAATCTTTTGGATTGTGATAATCTTATATATAA